CAAGAATTTTAACTCTGACTGTTAGACGTCTTGTTTTAGAGGATTCGACTTGATAAACACAAGAATTTTAACTCTGACTCAAGAATTTTAACTCTGACTGTTAGACGTCTTGTTTTAGAGGATTCGACTTGATAAACACAAGAATTTTAACTCTGACTCAAGAATTTTAACTCTGACTGTTAGACGTCTTGTTTTAGAGGATTCGACTTGATAAACACTACTCTAGGAATATCAGTTAAAGGAACGATTCGGTAAAAAATGAGTGATTTTTTTTAATTTTACTGTTCCATTGTGACTGTGTTATCATTTTATCACAAAGAAAAACCACACGGTTCAGTAAAAAAAAATATTTCTCAAGTATTGATATAGCAACATTTGGCTACCATCACCTAGTTCGGGTTAAATCAGTGTCCTTCAAGGCTGACCCTTGGATGTAGATGACCCTTTGTGCCCACATTGGAACCTGTAGAATCATTTTTGTCGTGGTATCGAGTTCACACGGAGACAGCAAGACAACGAAATAATCCTGATGGAGGAGGAGGAGGATACGGGATAAGTAAAGTGTTTGTTATGTTGAAAACCAATGTAAGGGTTTGTGATGAAACATTAAAATCAAACGATAAAAAAAGAACCCTCATCTTTTACGGTATTCACAAAAACTAGAAACTCAAAATAAAATATTACAATATGTTGATTATCTAGCTCTGTACTTAAAAATATATATATATATCGATTTTATTTTGGGCATTTACAATAATCTTTGAAACATAAGTCCTACATTACAGTATATGATAACACGTCACAGAGATAAGCTTCATTGAAAACTTATGCATTACGTTACCATAGCACCACCAATTGTTTTTTTAAGGTAGATTGACGATAATTTTATGGTACTAACTTTTGTCTTTATAATAAATATGGCAACGCTTGCTACATTAACTTTGTTGCCTCATCTTTGGGATTTAAGTTAACCCTAAAAGTACTAGCCTGAAGCAGTGGGTGGGCGTAAAACTCGTTCAGAAAATCCATTAGGGTGTCCGCCCGAAGCGTGGTACTACACACGACCACGTGCCGCTCGCTCTGAGCTCTGTAGTTGCTGTAAGTGCCTCCTAACTTCTGTCGCTCCATCCAGGTAAAGGCCAACTGTTCAAACTGTTTGAAAGAAGAAACAAGAAATGAACCGAAGTGTATTAAACTACAGTTTTAAATAAATTAACGGCAAGTTCTGTAAACGAACAATTACATTACTGATAACAAAAGTACGTTCATGTCACTAAGATTTGTTCTCGTATTTCCAATCTCATTGAATATATAAGAGTCTGTAACATCCTCACGTGTTCAGGGAAGAACTTTCTGGAGAGAATTTAAAGGATATTAGTAGGAAGAAAATGTTTGGGAAGACGTGTTTAGGGAAACACTTTCTGGGAAAATTTTAAGTTTTAAGTTTGAAACGTGTCTGGGAAAACATGTTTAGGGAAGCATTTCTGGGAAGAATATCAAGGAGGATGATAGAAGGAAAGTGTCCGGGAAAAGGTGTTTAGGGAAACACATTCCCTAAAAAGTGTCTTCCCAGACACTTTCAAGAATTTCGAGGACAGATGCAGCTAGCACTTCCCAAACATTTTCTTCCTACTAATATCCTTTAAATTCTCTCCAGAAAGTTCTTCCCTGAACACGTCTTCCAAAACATTTTTATCCTACTAATATCCTTTAAATTCTCTCCAGAAAGTTCTTCCCTGAACACGTCTTCCAAAACATTTTCTTCCCACTAATATCCTTTAAATTATCTCCAGAAAGTGCTTCCCTAAACGTATTGTCTTTACAGATAATCCAATTCCAATATCGTCAATATCAACATTGCTTTTCGTGTTTTCACTTTCACAGTTTTTGAAGAAATACTTCAATAACATAAATGTACCACAGATAATAAGGTCAGTCGTAACAACAATAAATCCCCATTTAAACGATTTTTTAGTGTTCGATTCAGCAATACTTTGAATATTTCTACATCGTCTTTCAGCCACCCAAAAATGATGTTAGGAGACCAACGAACACGTAATTGTCTAGAAAACGTACTTACATCTAAGTGCCAAGCTCGGTTAAAATATTGAATTGTCTTCTTTAGTCGATACTTTTAGACATAAGCACAACTTGAAGTGTTTCTAAGCCTAACTGCAGACAGAAAGAAAGTTACGAAGATATTGCCCGAAAGTTGGTTGTACAGACTTGTTCAGACCTCGTTACCCAATATATGTGCTAATTTCACATGGGTTGCTGCGAAGGACTATTGTTTGCTCTTTCGATGACGAGGAACCCATTTGGAGACTAATAATTCTTGGAGACGGCTTGAATGGGTAACGAAGAAAAACCTACACTAAAGTTTTTCTTCGTTACCCATTCAAGCCGTCTCCAAAGCATTATTGTCGTTTGCTATTTCTTGAATTTCGCGCAAAGCTATCCACGCTAGCCTTAGCTGATTTTGAAGTGATCGAGTAAGCGAAAGGCAACTAGTTAACACACCCACCGCCAACTCTTTGGTTCTTCTAATCGATTACTAGTCTTTGACTGTCGATCTTATAACGCAACGACGAACACAAAGTGATAAGAGCAATCCCTCCCACCCCCCCGCGGTAACGGGCGCGAACCTCGGATCAAAAATCCGGAACATCAACCACTGGGCAGTATTCGGCACAGTTGAGAAGGAAACTAATTAGTTCAATACAGTATTTATATCAGAAGATAATATTTCCTTAGTCCTTTAACTGAAAGGTTAATGAAGCTCAAAAGATAATACACGAAACAGTTGTGTTACGTAAGAATAAAATTGATATTTAGCTTTGATATATTCGATAGGCAATACCATAATATTATGATATTCATAAAGCTAAAATGACTTTGAAAGAAAAACATGAAAATATATCATATTTGAAAAGATTTTTCTACAAACATTCGTACCAATACAACTGTGTCCATGAATTTCATATCACCAATAAAACATTCTTAATATATATAAAAAAAATACGGTCAGCATACATAAAACGAATGAGGTATTCAAATGTTTGATTATATGTCTGCAGACTTGTATCGCTAGAAGCCGGATTTCAATACCGTGGTGGGCAGAGCACTGATAGCCCACTGTGTAGCTTTGTGCTTAACTACAAAATAAATAAACTCGTGAATAATATTCAACGTTAAACTGGTACACAATTAAAAACATTTTATTTAGGCCTATCTATGGCCTTCAAAAAGTTGACGACTTATAACTTGTTAGTAGGTCATTGACAAATAAACAACCCTTAATTAATAATAGTGTTATTGGCGCAGCGGTAAGTGTGAGGGCTTATAATGCTATTCATCTGGTGTCGATACCCATGATGGGCAGAGCTTAGATAGACTATCGTATAGATTTATCGAGTCAACAACAAACACACTGTTGTTGACTCGATTTGCTATATTTTATCTAAACAAAATAATGAAGTTTAACAATTCGTAATTATTAACTGTACAAAGGTTTTGGTGAATGTAACTGTTACGGAATTATTAACTGTACAAAGGTTCTAGTGAACGTAACTATTACGGAATTATTAACTGTTACAAAAGTTCTAGTGAACGTAACTGTTACGGAATTATTAACTGTACAAAAGTTCTGGTGAACGTAACTATTACGGAATTATTAACTGTACAAAGGTTCTGGTGAACGTAACTGTTACGGAATTATTAACTGTACAAAGGTTCTAGTGAACGTAACTGTTA